GAGCAAGACCAGGATGTTCACTTTTATTATAAAATTGCTCTGTTCATCCGTTCCTGTCACAATGTTTCCAGCCATCCCTACATCAATCACTACTTGTATGAATTGAGGGTTTTCTGGACTGAGAACGGTTCTAAGCTCAACCACTCCTCTGGAGAGGTTAGAAAGAAGGAAGATTGGGAGAGATATTAAACAGAAAACAGTTTTAATTAAATAATTTGTTAACTATCTGAGCACCTCACTAATATCATCAGATATGTTTTGGACTCTAGTTCCAAACAAGCGATATAACATATCCTTATCATAGGGTTCACACCTGAAAATCCAGACTTCATATGGCTTCAGCTCAAATCCTTCAGGATTTTCCATTTCCTCAACATTGCTAATCACCCTGCAGCTATTTATTGTTAGCTTTCTTAGCTCACTACAAGGCAATAGTGAGCATAGATCGTCTTTGTCTAAAGTAAGACAATTTAGTTCAAGATCCTTCAGATTCCTTCCAAAAGATGTTAAAAGTCCATTCTCATCTTGAAGAAGAGCCGATAATACACCAGTCTTATAGTCAGAAGATACAAATGCCTGAGAAACTTGACTACCTCTTACCATATTTTGATAGTTTCTTAAAATATCATCCTCCATTATGTTTGCATAAGTTTTGACTTTAAATACTTTTGAGTTAATCTATTAAGGAAACAATATGTTATATTAGCTTTCACTATCAAATCAATTTCTAGCTAAATAAATTCCAATTAATTTACACTGGCCACATTTATAATGGGATTATTAGACCCTAATTAAACAGTGATAGGATCTGCCAATCAAGCGATCTTTGAGACATGTGTAATAAAACAACAGTACCACACTAGAGAGATGAGAAGGCATAGCTTGTAGACAAGAGAGGTACGCTTTACGATATACGGTACAGGTACCCTTTGTATCCTTTTTGTGCCGTCATAAAGGTTGCAAAAGAACATTAATAAGACTTTGATAATCGGGATAGATATGGTTACGATTGAAATTAAGCAAGTTTTATTTATAGACCAGTGAGGAACCTGTCATTTCGGGTGGTATTTCGATTCCCATGATATGAAGAATAGTGGGTGCCACATCCCTGAGTGAGTAGTCTGTGCCAACCGATCTTTCTTCACATCCCTTGCTCTTTACCTCGTTGCTGCAGATTATGAGCGGCACCTTGCCAATTGTCCTTTTTTCGACGAGATTACCGTTGATGTCTCTCATGTACCCAGAGTTCACGTGATCCGCTGTTATAACCAAGGTGTAGTCGTTATCTCTACATATCTCATACAGGACACCAACAGCTTTATCTACTTCTTCGACGATTCTATAGGGCTCTTCCTTACACGTTCTGACATAACCAATTTGGTCTAATGGTGGGAAATTACAGACAATGAATTGTACATTGTTTTTCATTACTCTCATACAGGTCTGCACGGCTTTCAAAGTGTTCATTTTTAGTTTCGGGTCATAAACATATACTCTTTCATCTCCAAAAAAATTCATTTTCCCTCTGCTAAAGTCTTTGAGCCTGCCAGTGAAAAAGTAAAAAAGATTTGAATTTTTACTATCAGTTATCTGGGCCTGTGGGAGATCCTTCTTAGATAATACCTCATCAAGCCCGTTCTCAACCCTTGCCATACTAAAAATTGCACCCACCTCACAACTCTCAAAAACTCTGACCGTTATAAACACTTCATGTTCATCCCTAATAAAACTGTATACAATCTCATGGATATCATAGCTTCTAACATTGAAGAACACAACCGTGTCTCGTACACCAATCTTGCCTTTTTCCAGAAAAAGGCGTGGTCTAAAAAATTCGTCACTAATACCTTTTTCATACTGTGCCTTTATGTAATCCTCGGGACTCATACTCCTCGCAAATCTTCCTCTACATTTTATCGTATTGTAATACTCCTTTATCTTTTCCAGCTCTCCTCCTCTACTCATGCTGTACTTTCTTCCAGAGAGAGATGCAATCTCGCCAAAACCCACTTCATTTATGCACTCCCTCAATGAAGCCAAATATACTTGAAAGGATCTGGGTTCTACATCCACCCCATCTGCTATGCAGTGTATGTATAGCTCTTTGCATCTTCCCTTGAAGTTCCTGACTAGAGACTTCAGGTGATCTATGTGAGAATAGATACCTGCATCACTCACCAATCCTATCAGGTGGACTCTTTCTTTGTTAACCAATTCAGCCCTATCCAAATACTCACCCATCTTCCCCTCGGCTATAATCTTGTCGATCATGACCATATCTTGCTCAACCACTCTCCCAGCCCCTATTGTAATGTAGCCTGCCTCCCTATTTCCCATCTGACCTGGGGGAAGGCCGACATGCTCGCCATGTGCATGTACCATGAAGCTGGGAAAAGTTGTGCTGAGGGTGCTGATCCAAGGGTATGGCATAATTTCAATGTCATCTTTATCGCACTTTTCTTCATTGTGATTCCAACCATCAAATATCATAAGACACACTTTTTTCATTTCAATGTTCCATTTTTCCTCATTTTTATTTCGATCATAAAACGCTGTTTTATGGTGTATATTTACCATGTTATAGATAGAATCACACACATGTGAAACATTAAATAGATATTAACTCTGACTTTATTTAATAATATCGCATTCTCCTCTACATTCTTCCACTAGAAGGAAGAGAATCTCTCATATATTCATTGTGTGTTGGATATTACAACACCACTCTGGTGTCCTCAGAATGACAAATCCTATTTAACTAGGTGGGTAGTTATGATTCTAACCCCCTCCACATAAATGTCACTAACCATTTTTCTCTATCTAAACCCTCTAAATGTTAAAATTTGAATCAGCTCAAAACTTTGAATATCAGATCGTTTATAGCTTGTTGAGTAGAAAGGAGATAGAAGCAGACATCAATAAAGATGTAAACAATGAGAACAATGTAAATACAAAGCATTACTACAGAGAGGATATGGTGTTCATAAGCTCTTTTCTAGATTTGATATTAAAAATATCACCAAATTCAAGTTACAAAATACGAGACAACAAGATACTCTTCATGCCTGGTAATATCATAGGTGGCAAGATATCTCACAAATGTTTAGATAAATCTATTTCCAGCTATCTTTTACCATTACTCGTTGTCTCACCCTTTACTAGAAACCCATTCCAATTGACTCTCCAGGGGATAACAAATGATAGATCTCTAACCGTAGATACTCTGAGGTTGGTTTATCTAAACATTTTGAAGTTATTTGGAGTTGGGGATCCAACGCTTAAAATTCTAAAGAGAGGATTCTATCCTCTAGGAGAGGGAGAGATTTTCTTTAGCTGTGGAAATGTTCAAAAATTGAATTTTATCGATTTTGGAATTGAGAATCTTAAAAAGATAAGAGGAATGGTTATCACCTCACGAATTAACTCGCACACAGCACATTCTATGATTGAAATGATCAAGGAGACACTCTCCGATGTTTGTTCTAATATTAAAATATTTTGTGATATTTCCAATAAAAATGATTCAGGGCCATCTCCGGGGTATCAATGTGTTCTGTACGGTGAGGGTAAGAACACGGTGTATTATGGAGAGGAGATTAATGGTATGAATGAAGAGGGTATAGACAAAGGTAGCAATAAAGTTAGGGATGTGGTGATGAAAGGTACCAATAAATTACTTAAAAGTGTGAGAAGGGGTGGATCCTTTGATTATAAAACACTTCCACTGGTTCTCTCTTTGATGTGTCTAACTCCTATGGATGTGAGCAAGATTTGGATCTGTGAGCTAACAAATGAAAACAAAGGGATCTTAGGGTTACTGGAAAGGTTCTTTGGATACACGTACAATCTTAGGAAGGAAGGTGAGTTATACATCCTCTCCTCCTTTGGGATTGGTTTTACCAACTATTCTAAAGTACTTCAATGAATGATCACACTCTTGAAACCAACTCCTTTACCTTTACAAATTAAATTTAACCTCGTCACTTTCTTTGTTTACCAGAAGAAGAGATCTCCCCTTTATGGAACACTCTCTAGCACAGGTGAGTAAGAGAGCCCAAATAATGAAATCTCTGTATAAGATAATAGAGAAGCTATTTCATTTACATTCCTCGAAGAAGATGAGTGACGACGTATTTTTAGAGAAGACAGCAAAGCTTAAAGAGAGAGTTAAAGAGATAATAGAGGAGAGTATTAAACTTACCTTGGAAATAGAATCTAGGGAAGATAAAATGTATCAATCCGTAGATAGCAAAGATGCATTTAATACCACTACGGGTGGTCCATCCACTAAACTAAAAGCATCAAGGGATGGATCTTTGGAGGTATCTCCTAGGAAGAGAAGAGATGATAGAACACTCCAATTTTTTATAATAGAACATTTAACCCTTTGTGGTTATCTCATTACCTCAGAGAAGTACACTAAGAAGTGTTGTTTGGAGGATCTGTGTGCTTTTGAAGTTTTAAACTTCGCGAGAGAAATTCAAAGTGAAATTTTGAATGGAAAGTTCAGTAATGGAATTGAGTTCTGTAAAGAGAATAAGAATGGTTTAAAGGGTATTTATATAGAGGATATGGGTGGTAAGGTGTATTGTAGTGAGTTAGAGAACATGTTGAGAATACAAGAGTACATAGAGATGTGTAAATATAACAAGAAGGAGGAGGCTTTACTCTACGTAAAAAACGCTTTTAGTAAGGAGTCCTCTCTTATCAAACCTTACCTCCCCTTGTTGGTGTGTAGGGATATTAAATACCTCAACTCTTCGGATAACTACGAGAAACTCTCAAACTTGTTTAGAAAGTGTGTTCTATCCCTTTACAAGTACCCATTCACTTCTAGGCTTAGTAAGAGGATAGAATATGGGATAATCTCCCTCAAGACAAGGTTCTGTACCTTAAAGTATAACTCTGACTGTCCCACGTGTTTACCCTTTCTGAGAGAGTTAAGAGACAAGCTACCCTTTAGCAAGAGGGAGAACAGTGTGTTGCTCTGTAAAGGGAGCGGTGTTGAAATGAATGAGATGAATCAACCCTACGTATTCGACTCAGGGTACATCTACTGTGAGGAGTACATTAGAAAGCTAGATTATAACTATCTGTGTAAAGAGACAGGTACTCTATGTACTAAGAATCCAAAATTGTGTTATTTCCTTTAGAGCAAGAATGGTTTAATTAAATCTCATCATCGTTAACTTTATAGAGCTTAACAAAGACTCTCTTTCCGATATCATTTGGTGGAAGGTTTGTGGTGAATCTAGCACACACAACCCCAGAGTTGCCATGTGCCCTAGTAATTCTACCCTTAACAGATCTACCCCCCTCTCTGATAAATTCTACACAATTACCAATGTAGTTCTTAGCTACCTCCCTAGAGGTAACGTTATCAATCCTTAAGAGTGCATATCTTGGATAGACCTTTCTCTTACTTCTTCTATGCGATACAAAGATAGAGGGTATTGTAGTACGTCTAATGAGCTCTTCCCTTCTCCATTCTCTGACTCCTTCCATTCTCCCTTAGGGTGTTAAAATCTAAAAATTTTAAAAGATGGAGAAAGGTGGTATAACCTAAAGAATTAAAATGCTAATTTATACTCTTTAAGATATTTATCTCCTTTAACCATCTTAATAAATTCCTGTACAAATATTGCACCTAAAAGGCATTCATAAGACAACCCCTCACCATCTACCATTTTAATGCATTCTTTATGATCCAAATCAACACCAAAGGAGAGACACATTGAGCAAATAAAGTAAGCGTTTTCCATACTTGGTATCACATCAACGAAGATTATTAAAGAGTTTGGGGATGTGATATTTCCTATTTCCGAATTCTTCGCTATTTTGTGGTCTATCTTTTCATTTATTACCTCCAGAGGAGTGGGTACCATCCTTTTAAAGGAACGGAAAGAGGTGTTATCAGTGTAGATCTTCTCTACACCCAATAATGCAAAATTCTTTATTATCTCCCCTGGTATATAACAATACCTATCACTCACATCTTCCTTACTAAAAATGTACACGGTGTAATCCTTTATTTTTATTTGAGTTTCTAATCCAAATAACCTTATTTGTCTATCGTATAACCTTTGATCCTCTTCACTCACCTCTCCCATGGGCTCTCACCTCTAATTTTGAAAATTTTTAGATCCTTGGGAGAATGTTCGAATTGGAAATAAAGGACCAGTCCGTGGATGAAAAGGGAGAGAAGGTAAAGCAATCGAAGAAAGTATCGGGCAATACTTTAGAGTTGATGAAAAGAGTATTTGAAATGGTATTTGATTTGGTTGGTGATTGCAATATAGTAACCTCACAAGATGGGATAACAATTCAGGTAATGGATTCAATGCATGTAGCTTTCATTGACATATTCCTAAAAGCTGATCTTTTTGATTCTTTTAGGTCCGATAGAAACAGAATTTTAGGTGTTAAATTGAAGGAATTAATTAAAATTCTTAGATATACCAAACTTGACAAAGGATCTGCCTTTAAAATGATGTGTAAAGATGATGAACACAGGATGTTCATTAATTATGAGTTAGGAGACAATCTCTTGGCATTTGATGTACCACTCTATGACTTTTCCAAGGATACATTTCAATTCTCTTCTTTAGAGTTTGATTCTGAGTTAGAAATGGAAACGAATGAGTTTCTCCACATTCCCAAAATTGTTGGTACCTTTTCAGAGTTCATAACCATTAAAGGTAAAGGCAATTCTTTTGAATTTTCTCAGGAAGGTGGGGATGTTAATTCTAAATTTAAAATTTTAGGTACAGCACCTAATGAGTATGAATCTAAAACCTTTTCCTCACCTATCTCCAAGGAGATATCAGTGAGTTACATAAATGTTATCAGTAAGATTGTAACTTTCTCTGAAAAGATAAAAATCTGTCTTGGTGAGAAAGTACCGGTATTTTTTGAGGTCCTTCTCGATGATTTTGGGTATGTTAAACTCTACGTAGCACCGAAGAATGATGAAAATGAGGAATAAATAAAACCTTTATATTCTCTAAAATATCTTTTATTTTTCTATACCTACATGCACCACACCACTCTCCACAACTCTTAGAGTTGGAAATCTAGCAAAAAGTGAACAAATTCACTTCCTATGGTACCACTAAAGATTAAACAATCTATAACTCTATCTTTGATAATATTACACATTTCTAATAATTTGAAAATATTGTCTTTACATATTAAGGATCCTTCTCTACTCCAATCTTTAACAAATAATTCATAGATCCTCTCTCTCTTGATTTTACATTCTCTCTCCTTACACTTCCCTTTAAAACACTCCAAAGACTCACTTGTAGAATTACAAAAAACACAGTGAAATAGAAGAATCCCATAAAAAGGTAAATGGAAGAGGAATCTAACTCTAATTCTGTAAAAACCACTCATTTTTATGTTATCTAAGGTAGAAATACCAAAAATTGAGAATTTCCCCACGATATCACTAGACCCACCATCTCTACAACTCTCAATGGATTTCTTGTAAATTTTAATCAAATTGGTGGAAGGATGATCATCTAGCAACCTTATAATTGAACCTTTAAAGTTGCTAGAAAATCTCCCTTCAAGTTTAAGGTCAACCTTTTCTATTTTTAAGTTCTTTAGGAGGTAAAACCCATTTAGAGTACAATTCAAAGCTTCTATAGCGTGACCATCCCAAAATTTTACCTCTAGGAGAGAGTTAAACTCTTCACTCATTCTATTATTAACGGTGTAATCCGTAAAGACAAGGATTGTTAGATTGTCTTTTGGGGTTTTCTTGTCTATCAGCACTCCAATAAAATCTATAAATTCTACTTTATCCATCTCTTTAATCTCCTTTTTCTTTATAAAGGTACTCTTACTCTCATTGAAGAAGTGTTTCAGTTCCAGAACTCTCTTTCCCTCCACTCCTATTTTTTTTGATTTATGCAATTTTTCATTTCTAGAAAGGTGCTCTACCTTAGATTCATCTCCACACCTGGAGAGTACCTCTATTTCATTTCTATGATCTGTAAATGCTTCATCTGTGTTCATTAATTTTACATTTTTAATTCTAACGATATCTCCTATCTCAAAACCATTCTCAAATATCAAATTCTCACTAAATATCTTAATTTTGACTTTATCCTTAACACTCTCATCTACAACACTAATTATCGTTAAATAATCAGTTCCTTTGGTTTTGAATGGTCCTTTGCTATCTATCACCACACCATAGATATTACAGTACTTCCCGGCTTCCATTTCTCTAAGCTTTAAAAATCCATTTTCACCCATTTCCTGCTTACTAAAGCTTATCTCCAACGTTGGATTATAAAGAATTGTTCTGTTTTGAATGGTGAAGTTACCTTTAATGGTTAGAATATCGTTTCTTGTTGCAGCACTAAAACATTTTTTCATTGTTTTAGGGAAATATACCTCATATATCTCACCCTGTGATTCCACTTCAACTTTTAGTTGGGTCCCTAATACCATCCTTATAATTTTTCCACTCCAATGCATTTTTCAATTTTATTCTTTAAAAATTTTAAGTACCCTCCTAGGTACTCCTTTTGAAGGGAGGGAATATCTCTTTTTCCCTAAGGTGTATATTCAGTGGATGGTAATTTTACCTTTAACTCGCTTTTCAAGGACCTGTTAAATACAGTAAAGGGTAAAATAAATCGATATTTTACTTTCATTTGGTATCAAGTGGTTTGTATTACTCTTTTTACTCTAAATTTCTTTCTACTCCCCTAAGATGAATCCGTTTAGAGAGGAGCATTATCAAGACAGGGAATTAAAAGATATTTTAATAAAGTTAACAAAGAAATCAAATATTACTAAATTGAATTCATTAAACCAATTGTATAACAAGGTAAAGGGGGATAAACCATCCATAGAATCTTTAAAATTGATTTTATTATCAATAAGACCGTGTTTTGGTATACAAGAATTAAAGGAAAGATCCAATGATATTCTCTGTGAATTGGTTAATTACTTTGAAGAGATAGACTATTTCAAGGAGATACTCCCACTCTCTCTTTTTAATTATGTAGAGAATGGATCAATTAGATCTTGTAGGGATATTCTAAAGAGGTTTAGTATATCACAGTACTCTAAGAGTATCATTAATTCTCTATCTTTCGATGATACCTTTAGAATTGTAACCTTAAAGGTCATTTGTATTTTACTTAAGGGTACTAACGTAATGGGGTTAAAAAGGGTGTTATTGGGGAATATCACTAAATTTAATTTTGAGTCTTTTAATGAGTTAAAGCTTCTAAAAAGCATTTTAGTATTCTATAAAGAGGATTTAGAGATTAAAAATGAATTTTTAATTCACTTGAAAGGAATAGAAAACAAAGAAAGTGTAAATTTAAAATATGAAATTCTCTTCAGAATTTTTAATTTTTTAGATTTTGAAATGTTTTCCAAGGAGTGTTACTCTTTAGAGAGTGATATTCTATTAGAAATATTTAAGGGTATAGAAGAAGGGAGGGTTTTGATATCTAAAGAGTGTTCAGATAGGTTAAGTGTAATATTTAACAGATTAGAGGTTAAAGATTTGGAACTATTTGAGTTTGTTTATAGAAAGGGTGTTAATAGAAAGGAAAATTTGAAGAATTTAATTAACAATCTAAAGGATTTTAAGGATTTTGATCTTTTATATTTGAAAGATCATTTTGAATTTGTAAATTTAAATTGTGGTTTTAAGAAGGTAAATTTAATTTTGGAGAGTGTTAAGGAATGGAAGGGTGTAGATAAGAATGAGAGTGTTAAAGGATTGAAGGATTACCAAAGGATTATTAGAAGTGATTTATTGAATATTACCCATCTAGAACCTGGGGATTTTAATATTTTAGATATTTTCATAGCTTTAAAGTCTTCTCTAAATCTTTTTGATAAAAGTTTTTTTGAATTTGCATTAACAGAGATGAGAGAGGAAGATTTAAATACAACCTTAAATAGAGAGATATTAGCATTAGAGGATTGTTATAGCCCATATTATTATATAATAGATGGAGATAACGTTACTTTATTGGATTTAACCATTCCTATCTTTAAAAGATATCCAGAGCTCCTTACTCCTGGATTTTTAAGATATTTCTTAGAGGAAAGGAAGTATCTCAAAGAGATACTCCCTTTAATAAGGGATAAAGAGAGTATAAACATTGTAAATGGATACTTTAAACACAAGTATGGGGTAGAGGAGCTAGTAAATATCTATGATGATCTAAAGGTAGATCTTTGTAGGGTTAATTGTTATATTACCATAAATCTCCTATTTTTAAGTTATAGGGATATAGAAATATATCCTTTATTAAACTTAAAGGGTGTAGAGGTGAGATTTATTTTAGATAACTTTAAAGACAGTAATTTTATAACTCTTCTATTAAACAACAATTTGATAGATACAACAGAGTTTAGAAATGAGGTTTATAAGATAGTGGAAGGGTTGGAGATAAAGAATAGCGTTGTATATGAAGATGAGTATTTCTATTTGAATGATTGCTTTTACAGAGATATCGAGATATTACCCTTTAATGACACGGTTTATGAATATTTAGATTTTATTTTAAGTATTCTAAAGGGTGTTAAAGGACCCAATACTCTAACCGTACTTTTAGAGTATATTTTAAATAGGGAAAGTAAAGAATTTGATGGGGATATGGAAGAAATAAGAAAGAGTAACAAGTATTTTGATATTTCTTACTTACCAGATAAGGTAATAAATAACTCAATGGGTAATTTTAGTAAAATTTATCTAAATTTGAAAAATGGTAAATTTAGTGATTTGAATGTGGGGATGTTTACCACTGGTAATAGAAGAATTAATAATTTTATTGTTAGTAGAATATTTGATGTGGAGAGTAATATTAATATAATAGGAAATGGTAATTTATTAGATAGTATTAATATCATTGATACCTTTGTATTCTCTTTAGATCTAAGTTTTATATCCAACAACTCTCTAGAGATACTCTTGGAATGGATTAAGATGAATATTAAAAGATATGAAGTTAATGATTTACTGGAGTTCATATTAAAGGACAAGATAATATCTTATCATAGGAGTGATAAGGGTAATCATTTTTATAGGAATAGAAGGTGTATTTATGATGGTTTGTTAGACATAACGTGTAAGGAGATATCTTATAACGTTTTAAACGTTTATAATATTTGTAAATATGAAGAGAATGTCTCTGAGAGGGAGATCTTTTCTTTAATGTTTGAAAAGTTACATGAAAATGTTTTTGATGGTGTTATTTGGAAGGTGTTCTTAAAGTCTGTGTATTTCATTAGAAACGTTAATATCTCATTCTTTATAGAGAGGAATTTAAAGGAGTTGTTAAATGATAGGATGAATGAGAAGGAGTGTTTGAATTTTATATTTTATGAAGATCTGTGTTTATTTACTTTTAACTTTCCAAATTTGTATTGCAGTATAAATGGTAAGGATAGGAATGGTAATAAATGTGGTTTTATGGAAGATTTAATGAAATTGGAATCTAAAGTAAGAGTGGAGAATATAAAGGTAAAGTTGATAATAAATAAAGGAAATAAATGGAGATATTCAATACCAATTGAGTATTTCTATAGCAGTGATATAAAGATAGATGGGAAAATAGAATTTGATAAGAACTACCCACTGGGAAGTGTAAGATTCCTTTGTACTTTTAGAGGATGTGATAAGTTGAATATAAGAATTAACAAATTGTTAATGGAGTGTTGTAAGTTTATGGAGGTATTGAGCTTATGGAAAGTAAATGTTGATAGGAAGATTGATGGAATGAATGAGTGTTTGATTTGTTATTTCATAATGGATGTGAGTAATATGTCATTGCCAGACTATAAATGTAAGGTATGTGGTACCAGGTATCATAAGAAATGTATTGATATGTGGTTGTTTAAAAATGAAAGGGGAGAATGCCCTATATGTAGACAGAAAATGAGATGATTTACCGGGAGGGGTGGAAGGGATTGACCCTGACCCACAATCTCTTAAAAATACCAAAATAAATTCGCTCAATTTTTTATTTAAGCTTTAACCTCTCCACAATCGGAAATAACGATCTTAACACCTTTCTTCAACTCTCCATTCTGACTGCCATATCCCTCAATCTTCCTAACCACTTCCATTCCGCTGGTAACAGATCCAAATACCACATGCTTCCCATCCAACCAGGAGGTCTTCGCTGTAGTAATAAAAAATTGAGATCCATTTGTATTTGGACCAGAATTTGCCATTGATAGTATTCCTGGTCCCGTGTGTTTAAGCTTAAAATTCTCATCCTCAAACTTTCTTCCATAGATACTCTTACCACCTGTTCCATTGTGGTTGGTAAAATCACCACCTTGGATCATAAAATTTGGAATGACTCTGTGAAAAGTCGAGTTCTTAAAACTCATGTTCTTTTCACCAGTACAGAGACACCTAAAATTCTCTGCTGTCTTGGGTGTTTCATCACACCTCAATTCCATCACAATTCTTCCTAATTTCTCTCTCTTCTTCTCCACACCCATTGCATCACTCTCGATCCTTTCAACCTCAAAAAATACCTCAGTAGTCATAGGGTACCTAAAAAAAAATTTTCTTAAAAGTGGAATTTGGTTAGGTGGGAAGTGGAGTAGAGCTAGAAAGACCCATTTAAAAATTGTTTTGTGATTTTTCATTTTTAGGGGGTAAGAGAGTCATTGAGATATTTTATATCCCTGGACTCAAAATCTTTTCCATCGCTTGGGTTATGATTCACTATACTTCTCTTCTAAATCCATCAGGTACACTACTCTTCAACAAAATCTAAAACTATAACGTGAGTTATCACTCTATCCACTTGCTCTTGATCTTTCCCCCTAAACTTTGGAAGAGAAATGTTGGATTCAAGTTACAATAATGAGAAGCCATACATTGTGGGAGACAAAAGATTATACAATAAAGAAGCAGTAAAACAAGAGAGGAGAATAAAAAAGAACAAAACAGTAATTAATAAGAGAGATTTGACTGGTGATGGGTGGTTTAATATGAAAAAATCAGCAATAGTTGATGAAAAGGATTTGTTCTACTTAGAGAATAGAGACATACTTCTGGACAGTGAACTAAAACAGATAAGAGAAGGTAGAACCTACCAGATAGGTACAATTATCAAAGATAAAGGAAGAACTGTGAATGATAAAAGAGAATGTGAATTTGATTAAAGAGTTTAAATGGTTGATAATACTACTTTATAAATATTTTATTTGTAGGAAAAGGAGAATGCGATATTATTAAATAAAGTTAGAGTTAATATCTATTTAATGTTTCACATGTGTGTGATTCTATCTATAACATGGTAAATATACACCATAAAACAGCGTTTTATGATCGAAATAAAAATGAGGAAAAATGGAACATTGAAATGAAAAAAGTGTGTCTTATGATATTTGATGGTTGGAATCACAATGAAGAAAAGTGCGATAAAGATGACATTGAAATTATGCCATACCCTTGGATCAGCACCCTCAGCACAACTTTTCCCAGCTTCATGGTACATGCACATGGCGAGCATGTCGGCCTTCCCCAGGTCAGATGGGAAATAGGGAGGCAGGCTACATTACAATAGGGGCTGGGAGAGTGGTTGAGCAAGATATGGTCATGATCGACAAGATTATAGCCGAGGGGAAGATGGGTGAGTATTTGGATAGGGCTGAATTGGTTAACAAAGAAAGAGTCCACCTGATAGGATTGGTGAGTGATGCAGGTATCTATTCTCACATAGATCACCTGAAGTCTCTAGTCAGGAACTTCAAGGGAAGATGCAAAGAGCTATACATACACTGCATAGCAGATGGGGTGGATGTAGAACCCAGATCCTTTCAAGTATATTTGGCTTCATTGAGGGAGTGCATAAATGAAGTGGGTTTTGGCGAGATTGCATCTCTCTCTGGAAGAAAGTACAGCATGAGTAGAGGAGGAGAGCTGGAAAAGATAAAGGAGTATTACAATACGATAAAATGTAGAGGAAGATTTGCGAGGAGTATGAGTCCCGAGGATTACATAAAGGCACAGTATGAAAAAGGTATTAGTGACGAATTTTTTAGACCACGCCTTTTTCTGGAAAAAGGCAAGATTGGTGTACGAGACACGGTTGTGTTCTTCAATGTTAGAAGCTATGATATCCATGAGATTGTATACAGTTTTATTAGGGATGAACATGAAGTGTTTATAACGGTCAGAGTTTTTGAGAGTTGTGAGGTGGGTGCAATTTTTAGTATGGCAAGGGTTGAGAACGGGCTTGATGAGGTATTATCTAAGAAGGATCTCCCACAGGCCCAGATAACTGATAGTAAAAATTCAAATCTTTTTTACTTTTTCACTGGCAGGCTCAAAGACTTTAGCAGAGGGAAAATGAATTTTTTTGGAGATGAAAGAGTATATGTTTATGACCCGAAACTAAAAATGAACACTTTGAAAGCCGTGCAGACCTGTATGAGAGTAATGAAAAACAATGTACAATTCATTGTCTGTAATTTCCCACCATTAGACCAAATTGGTTATGTCAGAACGTGTAAGGAAGAGCCCTATAGAATCGTCGAAGAAGTAGATAAAGCTGTTGGTGTCCTGTATGAGATATGTAGAGATAACGACTACACCTTGGTTATAACAGCGGATCACGTGAACTCTGGGTACATGAGAGACATCAACGGTAATCTCGTCGAAAAAAGGACAATTGGCAAGGTGCCGCTCATAATCTGCAGCAACGAGGTAAAGAGCAAGGGATGTGAAGAAAGATCGGTTGGCACAGACTACTCACTCAGGGATGTGGCACCCACTATTCTTCATATCATGGGAATCGAAATACCACCCGAAATGACAGGTTCCTCACTGGTCTATAAATAAAACTTGCTTAATTTCAATCGTAACCATATCTATCCCGATTATCAAAGTCTTATTAATGTTCTTTTGCAACCTTTATGACGGCACAAAAAGGATACAAAGGGTACCTGTACCGTATATCGTAAAGCGTACCTCTCTTGTCTACAAGCTATGCCTTCTCATCTCTCTAGTGTGGTACTGTTGTTTTATTACACATGTCTCAAAGATCGCTTGATTGGCAGATCCTATCACTGTTTAATTAGGGTCTAATAATCCCATTATAAATGTGGCCAGTGTAAATTAATTGGAATTTATTTAGCTAGAAATTGATTTGATAGTGAAAGCTAATATAACATATTGTTTCCTTAATAGATTAACTCAAAAGTATTTAAAGTCAAAACTTATGCAAACATAATGGAGGATGATATTTTAAGAAACTATCAAAATATGGTAAGAGGTAGTCAAGTTTCTCAGGCATTTGTATCTTCTGACTATAAGACTGGTGTATTATCGGCTCTTCTTCAAGATGAGAATGGACTTTTAACATCTTTTGGAAGGAATCTGAAGGATCTTGAACTAAATTGTCTTACTTTAGACAAAGACGATCTATGCTCACTATTGCCTTGTAGTGAGCTAAGAAAGCTAACAATAAATAGCTGCAGGGTGATTAGCAATGTTGAGGAAATGGAAAATCCTGAAGGATTTGAGCTGAAGCCATATGAAGTCTGGATTTTCAGGTGTGAACCCTATGATAAGGATATGTTATATCGCTTGTTTGGAACTAGAGTCCAAAACATATCTGATGATATTAGTGAGGTGCTCAGATAGTTAACAAATTATTTAATTAAAACTGTTTCTGTTTAATATCTCTCCCAATCTTCCTTCTTTCTAACCTCTCCAGAGGAGTGGTTGAGCTTAGAACCGTTCTCAGTCCAGAAAACCCTCAATTCATACAAGTAGTGATTGATGTAGGGATGGCTGGAAACATTGTGACAGGAACGGATGAACAGAGCAATGTTATAATAAAAGTGAACATCCTGGTCTTGCTCAAGGAGATGTCCTACGTTTGCGAGGATCATGGGAAGATAAATAGAGTGAGAGAAGAGTGTGTCAGACCATAAGTAACGCTATGGGTAGCACTAAAAATGAGACTAGGATCATTCCTCTTCTTATTGATCCATTGATATACTCTGAGCTCTACGTTAGAAATGGAGTGTGTTGGGGGGATAACCAACGGTGTGGACATCTGTGAGGCAGATTTTAGATCTCTAAACTTTAGTAAGGAATGAGTCAATGGATGGATCTGGAAAGGCCGTTGAGAGTGGTGGATCCAGATCTGCACATACCATGGCACTTCTCCCCACCAAGCGTTCTCTCTGTGGAGTGATTCTGTAGATTTATTGATTTTCTCGTTGGAACTACAGTGCTGGGTGGTGGAAAAGTTAATTTTACACTTCTGGCCACTCCTGAAATAGATTTATTGTTGTTAAATGTTTTATTTACATCACTTCACAGTTATCATCACTATTAGGTTTAGGTAGTTAGAGTAGTATTGGTATATAAAATTCTTATCTGATAACGCTTCATACATAAATAGAAAATGAGGTAGTTTTTCAAGTTAAATTTTCACATTTCTATAATTTTAACGATATTTTTCAGAAAATTAAAATTGTAAAAAATAAAGCCCGTTAATGCATGAAGTAGAAGGAGGAGAAAAGGAAATAAAGAAAAAGAATGAAGAGACAAATGATAAAAAGAGCAAATTACATTTAAATGATAGGAAATTGTTGGGTAAAATGAAGTATAATGAGAGAAAAACGCAAATACCAGTCCCTAATATGTGTTATAAGGATATACCACCACCTTTCATATCTGTTGTGGGGCCACAGTGTACTGGAAAGAGTGCACTAATCAGATCACTAGTTAGAGGGTATACAAAACAGAACATAAGTGAGATAAAAGGCCCAATAACACTAACTTCCAGTAAAGATAGAAAAATAACATTTTTTGAATCCAAAAATGATTTGTATTCACTCATTGATGTTTCTAAAGTCTCTGATTTGGTAATCTTAACCATTGATGGTGGTTTTGGATTTGAAATGGAAACCTTTGAGATCATAGCTCTGATGAAATCTCACGGTTTTTCCAAGTTTATGGTGGTTTTAACAATGCTAGATAAAGTAGGCGACATAAAGAGAATCAGAAAGATTAAAAAGATGATAAAAAGGAGAATGTGGAGTGAGATATCACCTGGTATCAGGATATTTGCTTTAAGTAGATATTCTTCAGGTAGGTATTTAGATTTAGAAATTAATACAATGATGAGAGTACTTACATCCATGAAGTATAGACCACTACAATGGAAGTGTACACATTCGTATGTCATAGTTGATAAGATACTTAAGGAAGAGAATGACAATAACTTTACATATCTTTATGGATACGTTAGGGGTACACTCTTTAGAGATAAAAGCGATGTCCATCTTCCAGGGATAGGAGACACCAAAATTTTAGATATGGAGATTCTGGAGGATCCTTGTTATGTACCGGTTAAAAAGAAATTATCTCTGATTCAGAGATGTTTGTATGCACCTTTTAGCAACATCTCAAATCTATTAAAGAAAGGGGATGATATCTTCCTAGAGATCCCCACTTCATCTTCACAAACCTTAAACTTTAAGGATCCTAAGAGAGAAGAGTTACAACTATTTAATAAGAG